TGGGCCGCTCTCAGTCCTTCCAGTCTCCCATTCACTGCATCTCTCGATGATTCAGGAATCCACCTCTCCCATGCAGACATAGCTGAGATGGCTGCACTAACCTTCTCATCTAATAACGTGAGCTGAACCTCATAGCCCTCCAAATTGTCACTTTTGACTTGCATATTTTCAGCTTCATCAACTACTTCCTCTGCTTCATGAATTGATGTTTTAAGTTCCTTTTCTACATATCTTCCCCACAGGTTAGTTTGTACAATGGCAGTAACCTTCTTCATTTTTTTCTCTGCATCGTTTATAGTCATTCTAATGTCGGTCTGTTGCTGCTCATCAAGTTCTGCTTCTTCATCTGCTGCCTTGACATCAGCCTCCAGTCCAAACCTATAGTCATCATTAGAGTCAAGAACTGATTTGAACCGGTCTGAAAGTTTTCCAAATTCCTCTTCTAATTCGGTCTTCAGCATGATGTCTGCTCCTCTTGAAATGAAGTTGGCTAGTCTGGTGAAGGTGCTTTTAGCACTGGTCCTCTCCTGCTTCAGCAGTTTGACCGTCTTCCCCAAGACCTCTTCTGCCATCTTTATTTCCTCTTGCGTCCACAGCTTTTCTGGTTTGAAGCCCTTTATCTTCTTTTCCAGGGTGCTCTGTGGTTATCAACTGTCAAGCTCCACACTAGTTTTACTCCAAAGGGACACTTTGGGACAACTCCTTCACTTTCCAACAATTTTTATTATGCCAGTTCAGTGAACATTAGGTTGATAACCTTCAAAGAACAGAGACAAGTGTTAAATATCACATAATTTATATAAAATACAATAAATAAAGAACTTTCTAAACTAAATCTTCCTACACTAAAGTGTAAGTGAATAAATTAAAACATGACGGAATCACTAAAATTCAATCAATAAATCAAGTTTTCAATCATTTAAAAGGGATATTAAAGCATCAAGTGTCACGTTATTGCTCCCCTGTGCCTTGAGTTTTTCCTTAATTGTGTCCACCTGCCTCTTGTTACTTGATTACCCATCCCAGTGTGTATATAAGCCTTGTGTGTTGCTTGTGGTTTTGTCGGTTCGTACTCGTTACATGTCAGTTTATGTTCATCTGTCTACCCTGTCGTGTCTGCACTCCTGACCATTAAAAAGGAACCAAATGTCTGCTGCTGTCTGGCCTGGGTTGATTTACCTGCCTGAAGGATCCGCTCTTCCTCCCTCACCTTCCCTCCACATCGTGACATCAAGTGTAACAATGACAATGACAAAAAATGTCTACATGCTTGAAAACACCTGCATTGAATCAAACTCAAACAACATGACTTTAGTGGTCAACCTAAACAACTTCATATCATAAACAAAACAATATTCACCAACCATTGGCGTCTTTAGAGTCAACTCATGTGTAGAGCTTGCTGTGCTGTTCCTGTTTGACTGAGAACTGAGAGCCACCATCCTGCATAGGTGTTTTTTTATATCAGCAATCAGTTGCCTTTTTGTTGGTGCATTCTGGGAGATGTAGTTCTCAGTGGTGGTGGACCAATTAGACCTCCATTTACTAAGCTTTAACCCAACAGTTACACCACTGATATTTGTTAGTACTGTATATTCCCAAAATGTTTTATTTTAATCAAAAACAAAAATTTGAAATACAAATAAAATAAATAGATCAGACACAATACATTGTAAGTGGAATATATATCACTTTGTTACTTTTCTACATTTTTTGTAGGAAACATTTTACCTAACTTTTTCATAAAGTATAAAAAATGTTTATATTAATGCTTTATGTCCTTTGATTAAATCAATAATACATATTGGATATTTTGTGTAGGATTTATGTTTCATGTAATTTAAAACTTTTTTTTGGATGTCAACTTCTATCAAACAATTTATGAACTCTTAGTAGTGAAACGTCTGTAATTAAATGTATCGAACTAAAACTTTATTAAATTATATTTTATTTTGATATTTTGTTATGTTAACTGTCATACATTTCTGGGAGAATGCTTTGCCCCCACATTACTGACTTTCACAATTTATCATCGTCGGATGAAAATACGTCATCAATAACATACATTTTAATGCATGTTGTTTGTATTTCATGTGTTGCAGATCAACACCTACCTCATGGTCAAAATAATATTGTCTAATCTTTTTTTGATTTATTATTAGGTATATGTTGTGCTGTGCATGCATTAGCCCACAAGCCATTGCTAGCTGTCACATTTTCATCTGCTTGCAAGCCACTACATATCTGCTCCTCTACCACAGCAACAATGTCCTTAATGAAAAGTATTTTGGATTTGTTCTGTACAGAGAAATGAAAATTACAAATTACAGAGCAATTTCATACAAAGTTTATAAAATATAAAAAGACTATCACATGTAGTCCACTTAAGAATGAAATCATACTCACCCCAAACAATCTGAATAAGTGAACTCTGTAAGAGACATACATTTAATTCGTCTATTAACTGATGTTAAAATGTATTTGAAACGTAATCTTTTTCATTGACATATACATTAACCTTGATTGTGTATATGTTTTCATAGAAACACATTGCAATCATATCAAACAGCATATTTAAACTAGCGTTAGGAGCAGAAATCGTTATTGTTAAAAAAATGTTTTAACTACTTACCCATGCTCTCGCCGTGGCATTGTGGTGCTCACCGGTAATTACAAATTGTATTTGGGGGGAGCGTTAGCCCACTAAGCATTTTTCGGAATAAGTTATAACGTACAAAGAAGCAAATTCCAAAATCCGACATTTGAAGCTGCATAAGTGTGTTTTCTTCTAAATGGTTAAGAACTGAATTACATTCCTATATTGCTCGACCGAACAATGAGAAATGTTGGCCGGTGGAGTTTTTATGTTTATTTTTAACTGGTTCACCAAACAGGTAGATCGGCCCATATGACAGAATTGGTAGTGGGATAGACCAATTACAGCCTTTTTAAAAGAAGGAACCCCCCATTTTGGCCTCAGCTGTCAATTAACCACATAAACAAAAGAGATAGTAAGTGTTAAAAAAATACATGCTTAAAAACTTATGGAAAAAATCTCCAGGCAGATGCTACAAAAATATGTAAACCACAGTATTTGGCGTTCGCAATGTGTGACCTTCTTCCATCATGCAGATGTAAGGTGAAGTGTGGGTGGATGCAGGATGATAGATCCATAGATAACGGCACCATAGGCTTTCTATTGGAGCTGGTGTAACCGCAGGACGCCATCTTGGATGGGTCATTATTAAACGCTATTTTACAAAAAGGAATTTATAACTTTGAAAGAATTTCTAAGACCTTTAATTTAAAAATTCCACATCAGATTTGGATGAAACTTTGTTTATATAAACTTGAGGTTTTCTAGTACCCATCCAGCCACACCAGATGCTGGCATAACAGGGGAGTTTTTTGAAAACATTTTTTCAAAGTAGAGGTATGAACGATTTTTAACCATTTTCAAAGAGGTTTTATTTTGAAATTTCACATCAGATTTGGACGAAACTTTGTTTCTATGAAGGGGTGTTCTGGTACTCATCCATCCACACCAGATGCTGGCATAACAGGGACGCTTTTTTTAAACAATTTTTCAAAGTAGAGGTATGAACGATTTATAACCATTTTCAAAGAGGTATTATTTTGAAATTCCAAATTAGATTTAGATTTAACTTTTCTTTATAAGAACTAGAGGCATTCTAGTGCTCATCTGTCCACATCAGATGCTGGCGTAACAGTCGGATTAATATATATATATATATATATATTTATTCAAAGTAGAGGAATGATTTATGCCATTTTTCAAAGAAGTATTTTTTTTATTCCACATCAGATATTGATGACACTTCCCCTGGTAGAACTTATGGTGTTTGATTCTTCACAGTTTCACACCAGAAGATTCTGGAAAAAGATTTTTTTTTCTATGTAATATGTATAGGTTTTTGGAAGCATAATATCTAAATAAAAATAAGCTGTTCTATGAAGTTTCACAGGAAAAATGAGAGGTCATCAAATTGTAATATAGTATCAAATGACTAAGGACTAATAGAGAAACGTGTTTAAAAAAGCATTGTCATAAGTCGACTTTTATGCATTTCCACCATTTGTAATATCTGTTAAAATGGCGATATAACTATGATGTGGTAACTTTGAATTCCATTTTTTAATTCTGTTTTCAAATAATCAGTCAGAAAATAGGTTTCTGATAAGGGCTTTCATTTTTAAAAACTGATTAAAATGATGATATAACTATAATATGGTAACATTTGATTCCATTTTTAAAGTTTGAAAAAATAATCAGTCAGAAAATATGTTTCTGAGATGGTCTTTTATTTTGAAAAACTTGTTAAAATGGCAAAATAAATACAATTTATGCGGCCTGCGGAGCATTTTTAAGTGGCCCGCGAGATAAATATCAAAAATATATAAAAACTGGCCCGCTGGCCGATTTTACCGCAAAGACTTCCACTCCCATGATGCTTTGCAGCGTCAGCGCGGAGCCGACGCGCCCCCTCCTTTGTGTTTTTTCCAGCATCTGCTGCCGGTGTCTGCAGCTCCGCTGTCTCGGACAAACTAAACACTCCTCTCACTCAGCGCCGAGTTCACTCAACTATTTTCTGACGTTGAAGCCCAGAAACTGAGATTTTAACCGCTCAGTAATGTGTTCATGACTGAAAGAGAAAGTTTTCCAACTAACTTCCATACAGAGCTGATATAACTTCAGCGAGCAGCGACACGCTCAAACCAGCATGACTCTGTCGTTGTGTTTCCTCCCCGACACACAACAACATGGTCAAGCTGCTCAGACATGTTCATCAGCACAAACCTATGTGAGCACCTGTTGTCATCTAATGTTGTCATTATTATGATGAAGAGGAACAAAACAACAGGAGTCTCCTCCTCAGCTCAGATCAACCCCATGATGCAGGTATCTGGCTGGAGCAGGTGAACATCACAGTAAACCAGTGGAGCAAACTGAGTTTTAAATATTTAGGTTTTATGCTCTTTTTCTGCTCCAAAACATGAAAGTTAACGGGTGAGATGTTGCATTTTCATTTAAGATAAAATGATATTTTTATTTTGTTGTTGGCCCGTGAGAAAAGATTTAACCTACAGTAAACAGGAAGTGGAAAGGCTGCAGATAGATGAATAGAATAGAAAATCCCTTTATTGTTCCTCAGTGGGGAAAGCTAGATGTCACAGCAGCAATGACACTTATTACAGGAGAAAAACAGGAGAATAAAAATAAACAACAAGAAAACATAAATCCTGAATAGATTTTAAGAATGCTGATTATACCACAAGTAATGAATACCACTGATGCCTTTTATTTAAAACTGACTTGCTCGTGTGTAATTTGGTTATTCCATATTCAGTGTTAATGCAGAAATATGTTTGTTTCCAAATTTAAAGGTTCAAAATTGCATTTATGTTGATAAAGAAAATGTGCAAATTTGCCCTCACCTTTTCAAAAAATATTAAGTTTGGCCCTCGACTCCGTCCCAGAGTTTCATTTCGACCCCGTGTGAGTTTGAGTTTGACACCCCTGCCGTAAGCAGTCAGAAAATACTTTTCTGAGATGGGCTTCTATTTTGAAAAACAGCGGCCCAAGCTTTTACCGTAAAGCTGTGAACGCATGCGCCTAGCAAAATCAAGTGCTCATTTTACCGTGAATCGGCGAGTGGAGGCTGGCTTTACCCCGGTATTCAACTCTCTCTTTTTTGTTGACTGGTTTTAATAGATAATCAGTAACCGGAGGGCTCACGTGTCGTTCTAGCAAACTTTCGCGTGAGCAGACGGCTGAAAAAAAGTTTGAAGAGCTCGAGAGCGCATTAGTGAGCACTTCTATACAAACCACACCGGAGCAACTTTTACCAGGACCTTAAGATGAACGACACGGATATAATCTGCGAAAACAACAAGACCTACAACTTTTCTCATCAGGCATGTGAAACCTCCACTTCTCCGCCCCACAGTCCCATGGACATCACCACTTTCATGCACATTCTGCCCACCATTTATGGCATCCTATGTTCGGTTGGAGTCATTGCCAACGGACTTGTGATTTACGCGGTGGCAGCGTGCAAGAAAAAGATGGTTTCTGACATCTACGTGCTGAACCTGGCGATAGCAGATATGCTGTTCCTGCTTGTAATGCCCTTCAACATCCACCAGCTGGTCAGAGACCGACAATGGGTGTTCGGAAATTTCATGTGCAAGTCAGTGGTGGTGGTGGATGTCAGCAACCAGTTCACCACGGTGGGGATCGTCACAGTGCTTTGCATTGATAGGTAAACTGCACTCATCTGCTCCCAGACACTTAACGAAAAGTAACAACAAAAAAAAAAAAACGAATTTAAGAAAAGAATAATTACGTAAATGAAAGCCATTTGCTTTTTGAGTTGTAATCTGCATGATTTTTACAGAAATCTAGAGATCACTTAGCATTAAAAAGGCACAATGTTCCCTGTGTGCAGGGGGGCTGCCAGATATTTTGGGCCCCATGAAAAAATATCTAGCTGGGCTCCCTGGGGGCTCGTCCATAGCTGGAGCTGGGGTTCCACACTCCCAGATTCGAAGGGAGAAAAAAAAAGATATATACTTTGTATTAATGTTTCAGTTTTGCTTAATTATGTAGGTCTACATGCATTCTTACTTATTTACATATCATTTTCACCAGCTGTCTCTCAATAAACAGTGAATTTCCTTCAACAGAATTAGCAATATCACTGCTGGAAAAAGCAGGAAATGCACATGCTGAAAGGTGTTAATCTCCTTTTCCCTATCACTCCCTTAAAGGCAGGGTACATAAGTTTTAAATGTGAAATAACTTTAAAAACGTTTAATTTTGACCATCTGACCTACTTTTATTAAAAAAGGTAAATCATCTTTAATGTTTCAATTTTCTCCTAAGTCCCTTCCCTGCCCTGTAGAGCTCAGCCAATATTTTTGCAAGCCTAACGCGTTGACCAATAGCGCTGCATTACCACCAGGGGTAGCTGCCAATCATCGAGAACGAGCATTAGATCTAAGCGTGCACAACAGTGTCACTCGGCTTAGAGAGGACTGCAGAAACATGGAGCAACAAACCCCCAAATTACAAATTCCTCGACTGCCTTCCACATCTCAAAAAACATTTAAAAAGTTTAAAAGGTCTTTTTCAAAAGTGGCTGTAAGACGTTTAAGACAGTTGAGTCGAATTTACATTGGAGATTGTTTACACGATGGAGAGATTTTCGTGATCTACGCGGCATGAAAACGGATGAAGAGTTGGCAAAGTATCTTTTGGACAGGTAAGTTATTTATTGTTTTTCGGATAAAATGACTTAAAATCTTTCTTTCACTGAAAGAAGTAATAGAGCAATCAAGCTTTGTATGCTTGGTGTCCAATTGGCTAATGTAGCATTAGCTTGAATAATAAGTCGACATGAATCGATGTTAGTTGTTGAACTATTTATGCTATATTTGGAAGAAGTTTGAGTAACGAAAGGGGATTTTAGTTTTATTTGTATGGGAGCTAATGATTAGTGTGGAGTAGGGCTGCAACAAACGATTATTTGGATAATCGATTAATCGGATGGGGTCTCGACACGATTAATCGATTAATCGGATTACATGGGGAAATTTTTAAAAACTGCTAGGGAAACGTTATTTCTCTCCTTCCTTCACTTTATTTAACACAACATTATTAGAAAACAGTTCAATAGCAGAAAAACAACATGCCATCACCTAAATTGTCTTATAAGGTGTATAGACAGAGACCCTAAGCTACATCTATCTGTGACCTAAAATGCTTGGTCCAAGTTAAACAGCTTAAGGGCAATTCTCATCTGTTTTGTTTGATCTCATCTGTTGACATTTATTTTAAATGTAATTAAACATAGGCCGTGAATTAATCAAAATTGATCACTATTTCCAAAAATGACTGAAAAAATACCAAATAAAACAAAAGTAAATGAATGCCATCCTCCTTGCGATGATGCCCTGGGCAACTGCCATAAAGTCACATCAAGAAATGCTGCTGATCATTCCAATGATCCCAAATAGACTCACATTAGGCCACATGAAAGCAACTGAACCCAAAAATATATTAACCAGTATATAACTGCACTCTCACACAACACGCCTGCTGCAACAGTTAGGACTCCTCCCTCCCTTTTAAAAGCGTTTTTGCTTCTGAGGACATTGTGGTTGTAAAACCACATGCTAGTCTGGCCCCGGTGTGATCAACCAGTTTCTGCGGGAATGTGACGGCGGAACCAGGGCCAGATTAACACTTTGTTGTACCCTGGGCAACAATATTCAAGGGCTCCATCATCACGACCCAAGGATCACCATAATGTGGTCACATACAGAATATTTTACTGTAATATGCAGTAAATATACTCAATACTTGAATGCCTGACAACACGTAACCCGCCCAGAGTAACCTTTGACCCACCTCGTGTGGACTGACCAATGAGGAAAGGGTCTTAACTTGAGGCCCTCTCTTCATTGGTCATTCTGCATGAGACTGACTCTCAACTGACGTTCAGTCGTAGGCAGCGAAGCGTCTCTGTGCAGCGCAAAAGCCCGGGTGGACAGTTTGTTTAATGTAGGGTGACCATATTTCCATTTCCAAACAAGAGGACAGGGATCTGTGCCTATGACGTCACACTATGGCAACGCCACACAAACCATGTTGGGACCCATTTTTTGTAAGAACTAAATTAATATCAGATTCTGCCAATTAAAGGGCTCTAAAACAATTCATATGTAAATATTTTGCATATTTAATGCAAAATCTAATTTTTCTGCTTTAGTGCTGCAACAAGGTTTTATTAATAATAAATTATTATACCTTTTGTTTTACTACAGCATCGGTAAGCTTCCTGTGCACAGATTATTAAGGATGCTTGTTTCAGCTGTGAGATTAGACGATAGGATCAATGAAAAAATAAGTTGTCACACACTCCATGGAAACTTTCAGAGAATCCACAAATAGTGGCTTTCAAATGGTTTTGTTACTTTTTACAAGTTTATAAAAGAAGCAGATGAGACAGCATGTCTGATAATTTAGTTTTTTATCTGATAATATTAGAACATGTCAGTAATGTCTGAGGGGCTTTTATAAACACTGTATAACTAACACTACTGGAGAGGGCATGAATTACACAGAGGCTTCTGGGGAGCCCAGTTATTGGGGGGGGGGGGGGGGGGGGGCATTTTGCCTTGGCCCCCAAAATGTCTTGAAACGGCCCTGGGTGTGTGACTGAGTTTTGAAGGTGATCTGAATTGTATCAGATGTATAAATATTACATGTGTATAACTTATTGTTTTTTACTGGTAAAAACGTGTAGTGGAGATAAATCTACCTACATTTTACTTTTCAACACTTTGTTTTGTTTTCTTGTTTTTATTGAACTATTTTCCTGTCCTGTCTGTCTCTCATCTTCCTGCATCTCCTCTTAATTCTCCAGAAAAACTGCTCCCTGGATTCTTACCTTTTCACCTCATCAGTTACTTTTGAGCAGGTCAAAGGGATCTCCTGACCATAAAGCGGAGAGCGCGTTTTCGATGCTGCGTCAGTGAGGTGACATCACCGCAGCACAGGTGATGAGCTCCGCAGTAGCGCGCTTCAGGCACAAATAAGACAGAAAATAGAGAACATGTGCGGACATGAACGATCGTGTGCTAATTATAGTTTTTTGGTTGCGCCACTTTGAGAATGGACCGTGCACTGGAAGCAGCTGCCTGGATCGCTGTGCAACAATGCGGAACCGGTTCGCAGCAGCGCAAGTCTGCCGGCTCTCCCTCGCGCTGATCTGCCGCTACCGGCTCTCCCTCACGCTGATCTGCGGCTCTCCCTCGCGCTGATCTGCCGGCTCTCCCTTGCGCTGATCTGCCGGCTCTCCCTCGCGCTGATCTGCGGCTCTCCCTCCCGCTGATCTGCGGCTCTCCCTCGCGCTGATCTGCCGGCTCTCCCTCCCGCTGATCTGCGGCTCTCCCTCGTGCTGATCTGACTTGCTCTGGTCTGCGCGCAACGGCGGGCGGGAAGGGGGGGTGGGGGGGGCGCTTTTGGAAGAGTTGTGCGACACAACGAATCGATGACGCAATTCGTTGCCAACGCTTTTAGTAATCGATTTTCATCGAATTTATCGATTCGTTGTTGCAGCCCTAGTGTGGAGTTTAACTATAGGCCATATCAGTGTATTGTTTTAAGCTCTTGTATATGACTTCAGCGTTAGCGGGGTTCAGTTAGCATCTTGAACCAGGGTCCGAAATTAACACTCGCCAAATGCGAGCAAATTGCTCCATTTGGCGAGTACATTTTTGAGCTCTACCTGCCACCTGGCGCCTGGCGAGTAAATGTTTGCACCAAATTAGTTATGTTTATCAGTCATCTTCCATGGATTTCTGATACTCCTCCCGCCTGCATGCAACGTACAGAAACCTGAGCGCCGCATCCAATGTCATTTCCACCTATCCCATTCAATCAGTTTATCAAGTTAGCAGTTAGCTTCGTGTTAAAACTAGCGGTGAAATGTGGCGGTTTTTAACTGGAGTAAGCCAGCCTTCCAAAAGAAAACTCGTCGAACTGGAAGAAAAACCACCAGGACCAGTGGCAACCAGAAGATTTTGTGAAAAGTGGCGAACTGGAGATGGCGGAGTTGTGAGACAATGGCTACATTATGATGGCCACGTAGCGTTGCTGCCTTTCAAGGGACAACTGTCCCTCGGCATTCTTCAAATATCCAATAAATGCCCATACTTCCGACTTTGTCTTCTTTGAGGGATAATAAATGTCCCGAGTGCTGCCGTCTCCTCTGGCCATTATTTCAGCTTTAGCTTAAAGAAAGTTTTGGTCGTAAACAACAAAGGGCGCATGTGCCGCCGGCATACGGTGGCTGGTAAGGGTCATCGAGCCTACACCGCAGCCACGGTAATCCACTGAGATAATTTTTTTTTTAAACAAGACGGTTATTATTGTTGTCAACTTTTTTACTGGGGTTTACTGCTACAACGGTTACCGTGACAACCCTAGCCCTGACACACTTTCAGATATTCTCATGGTGCAGCTGTGTTCTCCTGAGTTCAAGGACTATGACCCAAATGAGGCTGTAATGCTTTGGCACAAAGACGGTGTCAGAAGCAGGAGGCCAGACTTCATGGACAGAGAAAACAAGGAGTCTGACTAGATTTCAATGAAAGAGTTCATAAAAACATCTCTAAAAATAAATAAATAAATAGTAAAAATGACAAAAGAGTTGTTTTTGTTATTAATTGAAGTTTTAATTATTTTGTCACTCTGTTT